AGAGGTACCAGAGTTAATAGTTACCAGAGTTGACATAGGGGGAAAAAGAAAGACTATTCCAGGTGTGTGTGTGTGTTTGTTGTGTTTCAGCTACAAGCAGCTGCAAATAGAATCCGTGTGAACGAATGAAAGAGTCATACTCGGTCCGAGTGTCCGGTTGCCATGGCGAGGACTCGTCCTCTCCTCCAATCCCAGACACACAACGTGTTCTTAGCGTCCAGACCAACAGACACGATCCGCTAAAAACAGAAACAAGAAACAAACACATCAGAGTTGAGTACGAGGCATTTGGTTTTACAACATGTAGCTCTGCACACCACACTAAATGAGAATATAGTGTTGTTATATATATATTGGAGTTCCTCAAGACAAAATCCTGGGTCCTCAATTGTTCCCAATACATCAAATAATCTATTGAGGATTTAATATATAATCTCTTTTAGAGAAGGTGTGAAGGAATGAAAAAGGGAGGCTGAGTTCACACGGTCCAACAAGTCCTCCACCTCTGGAACACTTTAAATAAAATGATTTTAGCTCCTGATGTTCCACTTTAACATATTTAGACGTGATGAACGACGTGTTAGGACATCGACCTGTCAAACACAGAAGGATTCACTGGGGATGAAGATGAGGAAGATTAGGTTGTTTTACGTTAATCACAATATAAATGGCTGCATGTAAACAGGAATATTAGTCTAACAGATCATTAGGAATGTTGTCTTTTTTCGGAAAAAGGCCAAAAACCAGAATATTTGGTGCATGTCAACGTGGTCAGTGATGTCATCGTGAGGGGGGGGGGGGGGGGGGGGGGGGGGCGTGGTCTGACCTGTCCGTCAGAGTCGAAGGTCAAACAGGCGACTCCGTGTGTGTGGACGTCCCTCAGGATAGACACGGTCTGCATGGAGTAGGTGTCCCAGATACAGATGAACGGGTCTTTACCCACCTGACCCGTCGCCACCTGGACCTTATCTGGATGGATCGCTAGACTGAGAGAGAGACAGACAGGCAAGGACAGAAAGACAGACAGACAGAGAGAGTGAGACAACGTTCTGCCGACATCTTCCCTCCACCCACAAAAATATGCTTACCAACAGAAAAGAGCAACTTTCCTGGTAAACAAGGAGGACAAGGTTTCTTGTCTCTTTACAACAAAGTCTACAAACCTGCCTAACAGACAGAGGCCCAGGGGCCTAAAGTATCAGGGGCCCTTGGGCCTTCACCTACTAAATGTCAATTGAAGAGCTACCTACCAACCAGGACGAGACTCAAAATGACCACAAAGGAACATGAAACAACTACAAAGAGACGAAAAGTGACACTAAGCAAATACAAAGTGACTACAAAGAGAGAGAAAAAAGACAAAGTGACTACAAAGAGACACAAAGTGACTACAAAGACACACAAAGTTACACTACGCAAATACAAAGTGATTACAAAAAGACACAAAATGACTACAAAGAGACACAAAATGACTACAAAGAGACGCAAAGAGACACAAAGCGACTACAAAGAGACAAAAAGTGACTACAAAGAGACACAAAGACACAACGTGACTACAAAGAGACACAACGTGACTACAAAGAGACACAAAGTGATTACAAAGAGACACAAAGAGACAAAGCAACTACAAAGAGACACAAAGCAACTACAAAGAGACATAAAACCACATGGAGATGTGTAATAAGTCTCACAACAACAATAAGAGCCTAAACAACTATAACGTCTATGTCCATCGTCTCAAAATCCAGCCATGACATCAGAGATAATAAAATTATTATTATTGTAAGAGCCATATGAGACTTTGTAAGATGTCTTAAGTGATTTATGTGACTGTAACAGTCGTGGTAATGTGGACTATCGGATGGAGGGAAGACTACCACTACAATTTTTATTAAGAATACATCACATATATAACATATAGATAGATATAGATGAATGGATAGGACTAATCACTGATGGATATATAAATGAATGGATAGGTCTAATCACTGATAGATATATAAATGAATGGATAGGACTAATCACTGATGGATATATAAATGAATGGATAGGACTAATCACTGATGGATATATAAATGAATGGATAGGACTAATCACTGATAGATATATAAATGAATGGATAGGACTAATCACTGATAGATATATAAATGAATGGATAGGACTAATCACTGATAGATATATAAATGAATGGATAGGACTAATCACTGTTAGATATATAGATGAATGGATAGGACTAATCACTGTTAGATATATAGATGAATGGATAGGACTAATCACTGTTGGATATATAGATGAATGGATAGGACTAATCACTGTTAGATATATAAATGAATGGATAGGACTAAAACCACAACCTCCACATCTTCATTAGAAACGTATTTCCCCCTCACCTGATGATGTCATCGTTGTGTCCCAGGTAGAACTTCTGGGTGTGTTCCCGGGTGTTGTAGACCACGCCCACTCCGGCCACGAAGTACAGCACCTCCTTCCCGGCGGTGTAGTACAGGTTGTTACGACACTGGTGTCCTCTGTAGCCGTGGATCCACTCCAGCCTCAGCTGGCAGCGCGGAGCCGTCTTATCCGACATCTGAAAAGTCCACGTTTAAAGATCCACCGGGTTCAAACTACACTTCCCATAATGCCAAGCTGCAGCCTCGCCGCCGCTAACTCATGTTAGCAACGTCTCATGAACGCTCCATCGTCAAAAAAAGAAGATTTGATCGTTTTCCAGCTAAAATAATAAACTGAGGTTTAAATGTACATTGATGACGTCATAACGATGATGTCGTAGACAGACAGATGATGTCACAGTTTAAAGCGACTCATCGCTCCACTTTAGGATTCTGATTTTAATATTTTAACTTGTGATTGAATGAATTAAGAGAAACGTTCTCAGGATGTTTTAACATAAAAAAATATTTAAGAAAAAATAAAATCTATAAAATCACTGGTGTTATCAAAGGAACATTTCTAACCTAAAAATGAAAAACTAACGACAAGAATAATAAAATAAATAGTTGCTCATGTTTGTGGATGAATGAATAATATTAAAGGGTTCTTTAAATGAGACCAGAACCGACAGGAACACGTGTTCTGGAACATTACCAGAACGATGTCTGAAGGTTACTGGAGAAATTACGGTAACGGTGTATAATACATATACATATACATATACATATATATATATATATATATATATATATATATATATATATAATGTATATAATGTCCGGTAAACACCGTCAGCACGAACTCCTATCGCGGTAAAAACAACCGTTAATTTTAACGTTCGTTCCACTAAACGAACCGTGTGAAACGCCGCCGTCTGGTTCGCTGTTTGTGGCTAAAGATCCGGAGATTAACGGTGTTACGGTTTATCTCCGTCGGTCCGCATCCGACACCGACCTCTGCTGCTCCTGGAGGCCGGAAGAGAGACTCCTTTAGACCGGAGGAGACGCTTGAACCCGGCTGAGACCCGCAGCAGCTCCGCGGCTCAGACGGAGCTCCGGAAAATCATCAAAATATGATGACGGAAAGTCGGGATATTAACGGGAGAACCGGGGGATCACCGACGGAAGTCAAGACCGGAACGATACACACCGACACTTCCTATTGGGACTTTCAGAATAAAGCACTCACTGGCAGCGCTTTGGGTTAAAAATAAGTTTTTTTAGTAATAAAAACTTGAACATCAGCTCGACAATAATAATGAAACTTTAGATCAGAGGTCTTCAACGGGGGGTCCGTGACCCCTAGGGGGTCCGCAGAGGTACTGCAGGGGGTCGGCATTTTTGGTTGATTAGACAATTTTTTTTTCCAAACATGAATGTGTCCATTATGTTAATAGTTCAGTATTGTATGCAAGATAACAGGTATGCTTATGCATGGCAGTGGCACTAATAGGCCATCACTCATTCTCGTTTCCACATTTGTTTAAAATGAAAACATCAGTGTGAATAGCTTGTATGATGATTATCATGCAATTAACAGACAATGTTGATATTGGCATTGGTATCAGCTGACAAGGTGTGTTTATAAATGGCAGTGCACGGCCTCCCTACTCACTGTACCTTGCACATGTTTAAAATAAAAACATGAATATATGAACCTGTGTATTGTTTGAATAGCTTAGTATTGAATGCACAATAAAGAGGTATGTTTATACATGGTACTAGGCCCAGTTTAATATAAAACAATTTTATACAATATATATAGTCGGGGGTCCCTGCTCCATCTCTCTATCAGTTTGGGGGGGAAACGTTGAAGACCCCCGTTTTAGATTATTTAACTTTTTTATCTTTAGAGGAAAATATAGCTGGTTATTGACGTTATTTATATTTTATATAGTGACAAAATGTGTTAGTTCTACTTACGTTTTCAGTCTCCAGTCTCATCGTTTGGATGTTTAGTAAACGAACGCGTTCATGGTTTTAATTTTTAAATTACTCGTATATGTATTTTGTTGGAAAATACGACAGAGTAGTTTCTTTTTTTAAATGACATTTATTTTGAAGCCCAATAAACCTGTTTCCGGTGTACTTCACGCTAACCTCCGCGAGCTTCCTGCCTCTAGCAGAGCGTCAGGTCAGGTGCGGCTTTAGGGTCTTCACGATGATCAGACTCAGAAGCCCGCGGTGCATGATGGGAAGTGTAGTGTTCTAACAAGCTGTACAGAAGCACACTCAGATCAATTTATATAAGAAATATGTTATTATATTATCATTACTGACTAAATATGAATACAGGAAAGTACTCAAGTAGGCTACTGTATATTAGTACAACTTCATTGTACTTTCTACTTCTCCACTACATCTCAGAGGACCTGAGGACCCTCCCGTACCCTGTGGACACTGAGGACCCTGACAATCCTCCCGTACCCTGTGGACCCAGTTTCTGGTTCCGGTTTCTTTGTCTTCTGTGATCATAAACTTAAGATCTTTATATTTTGGATAAAATCCCAGATTCTGAATGAATTAATTTATAATGAAACAACAGGAAGCTTAAAGTTTAAAAGCTTTAATGACATCGCACATATTGACAGAGAGAGAGAAGCTTTTAAAGTCTACAGGTGCAGTTTCATACATGAGAAAAGCCGTTATGGTCTACGGTCGGTTTAAATATTCTTCATTCCTATAGATGTAGTTCTGATATTCTTCTTCTTCATTCCTATAGATGTAGTTCTGATATTCTTCTTCATTCCTATAGATTTAGTTCTGATTGTGCAGTAAAGATGCCGTTAACTTCCACACATGTTGGGTACGATAAGATACAAAGAGCAGAAAAGAGCCAACGATAAGCGAGCGAAGCTTCTTCTGTCCGTCTACGATTAAACCGGCTAACATCGAGCTTTAAGGGTTTACATCTGAACCGGGTCAGAACCAAAGAAGAAGACTTTTAGATTCAGGTGAGTGTTTTCAGGCCTGATGAAGCATGCAGGTGGACATTTTGTACATCGAGACTCCTCCTTCACGGTGATCGGAGGGTTTTAAGACCAAAAAGACCTCCAGGACCTGTACGCCTCTAGGACCCCGAGGACCCTCCAGGCACCCGAGGACCCTCCAGGAGATTGGATGATTTTAAGACCAAAAAAAGAAAATCACTGAGTGAAAAAACAATAAAACAAAATGCACTATTGGTCCAATTTCTCAACGGTGAGGTCGTCTCTGAGGACGTCGTCTCAGAACTGAAGACATAACTTGTGTCAAAACAATCTCAAAAGTACAAAAATAACTTCAACTAAAAAGTAAAAACCAAACAAATGAAAGTGTTCCTGCTGACGTCACTAAAGTCGGTTCAGATGTTGTGAAGAAACGGCGGTTAATCGTCTGCAAACGGGCGAATACTCAAAAAAAACAGAGCGAGAGAATCTTTCTGTCGACGCGTCAGATTTAATCCGCTGTTTGTTGTTGTTTACCGACGTCAACAACAACAACAGTTACATCACAAAGTGTAAATAGAAACCGCCGTTAACGCCACAATGTCTGAAAACAGAGAAGAGAATCACATCAGAAATATATAAAAACACAAATAAACAACCCCAACATCGCACTTTGGTGAAACTTTGACGGCTGTAAAAACCCCCGTCATTGGCTGTTCAGCGGTGACATCAGCGCGGGTTTCACCAAAGAGCCCGCGGGTTTGATTCTCTACTGTTTCTTCTTGCTGAACAGACTGAATCGTTTCTCTTTGTCCTTCTCTTTGTCCTTCTCTCTCTTGCCGGGACTCGACTCAGTCGGCAGCGTCTGAGCGCGGCCGGACGTCGGTGGTGTGCCGGGGCTGCCCCCCCCACCGCCCTGCACCTCGGAGGAGCGGTCGCCACCGGCGTTCAGGACGGCCTGGATCCAGGTGCTCATCTCCTCCTGCAGGGGGCGACACACAAGTACTTACAACTAGTTGCACTTTTACTTAAGTCAAGTTTTCAATGCAGGACTTTTACTCGTATTCCTTGTACTTCTACATAGTGGTATTAGTACTTTTACTCACTTCATCTTTGGCTTGAAACAGAAACTCGTTTCCATCCGTGACTCTGAAACAAAGAGGAAGAGTGTGATGAAGAGTGTGAAGAGTGTGATGAAGAGTGTAATGAAGAGCAGCTGATGAAGAGTGTGATGAGAGACCAGAGGCTCGTTACCGGAGTTTGAACACGTGTTTCTTCTTCTTGTAGTCCGAGGCCACGTCACAGGTGGCCTCCTTCAGGCTCACAGGGACCTGGTTGTGGTAGTGGACTCCCTGAGCCGCTGCCTTGCTGTCTTTGTAGAAACCTACTTCCTGGTTGTTGATGACGCAATACACGTTGTGCCACGACCTGTCAACCACAGAGCAGAGGGGTTTCAGAGGTTCAGAGAGTGAAGGGGTTCATGGGGCGGAGTGAGACGTATGTGGGGGGGGGGGGTCACCTGTTGGAGGCCTTCTTGTTGGGAGCCTCCCACTCGTGTTTGCGGTGCAGGAGTCCCTCAAACTGGGCGCCTGAGTCCTGGTTCCTGGAGGGCAGCATGGACGACTGGCTGGTCTTACTCTTCCTGCCAGAGGTCGGAGATGCGCCGGGGCTCGGTTCACAAACACCGTTCACCAGATCTCCACCGTCCACACCATCCTGAGACGGAACCACACAGGGACAGGTATCAACAAAACCACTACCACTACCACTACCACACACAGGGACTGGTATCAACAAAATCATTATCAGTACCACTACCACACACAGAAGTGAGGCTCATTAAACATTGAGCACTGACCCGAGGAGAGTCCTGGTCTGAAGTGAGTCCGTTCTGAGTGACGAGTCCGCTGAGGACACAGAAACACAGCAGTGTGTGAGTGAACGAGTGAGTGAGTGAACGAGAAAGCGAGTGAAGGAGTAAGTGAACGAAAGAGTGAATGAAAGAGTGAACGAATGAAAGTGAGTGAACAAGTGAACTCTCACCTCTGCTGATGAGCCTCCTCCTCCTCGTGAACCACTACCGGCTCTGGAGACGGTGGCCTCCTCATCCTCTCCTCTTCCTCCTGCAGCCTCCTCACCTCCAGCAGCTCCAACTGGAAGACAGACAGACAAACGGACAGCTGTAATTGGCTGGAGAGACCTCTGACATCACAGCGACACGTAGAAAGAGGAGGAGTCTGTGGGAGCTCAGACCCAGAGGGTCGCCCGTTCAAGTCCCCGAATGGATGGAGTACAGAGTGTCAACTGGTAGCTGGAGAGGTGCCGGTTGGCCCTCTGCCAAAGTGCCCTTGAGCAAAAACACCATGATTTAACCCCCCCTGCTCACCGTAGTCAGCCTCTCCAGAGCAGAGAAGCGCTCCTCCCAGGTGGCAGCGGACTTCTCGAAGGCCTCGTGACGTTTGATAAGCTTCTCCACTTCGTCCACACTCTGACCCATCTCTCTACTGGACAGGTACGGCTCCTGACCCAGCAACCAGGACTCAGCTACACCGGCATCACGGGAGAACTGGTGCACCTCCAGGACTGTAAGGGGGGGGGGGGGGGGAGTCAGACCTCAACAACAACAACAACAACAACACCGGCATCACGGGAGAACTGGAGCACGTCCAGGACTGTAAGGAGGGGGGGGGGGGGGTAGAAGAAGAAGAAAAAGAAGCTCAGTCAGCTCTTCATCAAAAGGACAGTGAGAGCCTGAGGAGTCTTCAACAACGATGACTCATCAGCGATCACTGCAGTGTCCAGTCAGCTGTGACCTGTGACAGTATTCATGATGAACGTGTGAATCTTACTGAGTCGTAGCCACTCCCACCGGTCCTCCCACTTGTCAATCATCTCTTTCCTTTTGTCCGTCAGCTGCAGCAGCTTCTCTTTGATCTGAAAAAACACCAACACCTGTTAGCACCTGTTAGATAGATAATGTATTCATCCCCAGGGGGAAATTTGTTTGTAGCAGCAGCAAACAAAGTTAAAAATATTAAGTATGAAAAATGTTCGACCAGTTCTAATAGTTCCTCCTCCACCTCACATCCTCTCCACTACCTCCTCCCCACCTCCTCTGAAGCGTAGTGTTTCCTGGCCAGCAGGCTCTTCCCCAGCTCGATGCAGGAGGTGAAGCTGTCGTTTCGTGCGTCGATCTCGGCCTTAATTCCCTGATGGTTGTTCATCAGGAGCTCCACCGACGACACGTCTCTGAACACAGAACGACACACAGGAGGAGGTGAGGTGGAGGAGGAGTGGAGGCGAACACAGAAGGAGGTGAGGAGGAGGAGCGGAGGTGAGAACACAGAACGACACACAGGAGGTGGAGGGGAACACAGAACGACACACAGGAGGAGGTGGTGGAGGTAGAGAAGGTGAGTAGGATGAGAGGAGGAAGAGGTGAACAGCTCCATCCAACGATGGACCGTCCTTCAGACCGTAGAGGACTCGGCCTACCCCTGACCCTTCCTGGGGTTCTCCTGGGCCTCGAGAGGAGGAGGTGAACACAGAACGACACAGATGAGGAGGTGAGGAGGGCCTACCTAGGGTTCTCCTGGTTCTCGATGAGCCGGATCACGTCGTCCATCCACAGCAGGAGGTCTCGGACCAAACTGAAGAACCTGAACTTGTCCCCGGTGTCGAGGAGGCGAAGCCTGCGTCCGTCACAGGCCTCCAGCAGACTCCTCCAGGCCTCCAGCACCTCGCTCTCTCTCCGCTGGATGTCGTCGGCTTTGTCTCCGGCGTACGCCGACTGGAGGCGCACCGCGTCCTCCTGCAGCTGCCTCACCTGCACACGGGGTAAAACGGTCAAACAGGTATGACTGAATGATCACCTGGAACCCTCACAGTGAGGGACCGACTGGGGTCACGTTTAAAAACCTATTGTGTCTCTATAAACCCACTGTGTCCCCATAAACCCATTGTGTCCCCATAAACCCACTGTGTGTCTCCATAAACCCACTGTGTGTCTCCATAAACCCACTGTGTCCCCATAAAGCCAGGTAGGTGTGACCGACCTGTGTTCCCAGGGCCTGGATGTCGTGTTCGAAGGTGGTGTGCATCCTCTGGAGCGTCTCCACCGTGTTCTGGTCACGGCCGACCTCCTCCGGCAGCTTCTTCTGCTTGTCCATGATGCGTCCCAGGATCTCCTTTCCGTCGTGGTAGAACTTGTGGAGCTCAAAGGAGGCGGCGAGGATCTGCGTCCGGGTGTCAATGAGCTCCAGCAGGTCGGCCCAGGCCTCGTTCAGCCCGTCCTTCCACTCCGCCACCGTCGCCGCGTCGCCGTGACCGGCGTTGATCAGCTCGTCCGCCAGACGGTTGACAGCGTCCACTCGCTCCTGACCGATGTTTCCGGTGTCCCGAGCAAACTCACGGAAACGCTCCTGCAACATCTGAGCACAGGAGGTCAGAGGTCAGGTGACTAAAGACACTCTCAGGTCGTGGTGGTGGTTGTAGATATATATATATTTATAATGTACCGTAACGTGCTCGTAGTCCTGTCCCAGCTCGTGAGACCCGGCCACCACCTCCCGCTCAGCGATCCACTGCTCCAGGTCGTCCACCTCCCGGTTCAGCTGGAAGAGGCGGAGCCTCTCGTCCAGTTTGCCCCGCCTCTCCTCTGATAGGTCCTTCAAGCCCGCGTACAGCTTATCCACCTGAGACTGCCGCATGCTGATTCGCTCACTGACACACACACACACACACAGGAAGAGGACAGCGTTTGGTCCAGGGTCGTTGGGTGAACAACATATGAATTGATCCGAGTGTCCTCACAGGTGCAGTAAAACTCACCTCTCCGGGTGCCCGTCGGCCACCAGTCCCCTGCTGGTCTTGGACAGCTGGTGGACGGTCTCGGCGTAGTCCTCCACCGCCTGCTCCACGATCTGGTGCTTCTTCTGCATGGTGACGGCGCTCAGCTCGTCCTGGAGAGAACGACAACACGTTTACAACATCGTACATAGTTTTATCTGTTCAGTATTTATCACATTTATCAGAACCCCCCCCACCTTGGCCTTCTCCTCTGACATCATGTACAGCTCCTGCTCGCTCATCCAGGCCTCGGCTTCGGCGGCGTCGAAGTAGTATTGCTGGGCCTTGTGCGCCTCCTCCAGACGGCCGTGGCGAAGCTCCACCTCCTCCGTCAGCTGCCGCCACAGCTCCTGCAGGTCGTCCAGACGTTGCCGGATCACGTCCCCCAGGAGGCTCCGGCTGCGCTGCAGGATGTCGTCAATACGAGGCTGATGACCCTGGATCTCCTTCTGCAGGGTCTGAGGAGGAAGAGCGTCATGAGAACATTATAGTTTACCTGAGCAGAGCCTGAAGGCATCATAATGTAACTGAAGTGAACCTCCGTTGGTTAGCCGCTAGTGGTGCTGCTAACGTTACTAGCTCTCCTGTTGATTTAAACACCGATTGGTTGTTTACAATGAAACATGATCAGAGGCTAGAAATGATCTCCCGATCCAGGTCTACAGGACTCTCTGTCTCCGGTTCATCTCACCTGGTTCTTCTTGATGAGCAGCTGGACCGTCTGCAGGTTGTGCCCGTGGTCCGAGGACGTGGCCACGGCCATCCTCTCCTGGACCCACAGCTGAAAGACAAAACACACCCTGAGCCTTCTGCAGGTTTAATACAGAGACATTTATATGGTAAGAGACCACTTCACGAGACTCTGGACTCTCTGGGTACGTACGATCTCATCCTCCACATCTCGGTTGAACTGGTGAACCTCTCTGGACTCCACCAGGAAGTTCTTGCGGCGGCGAAGTGGATCCAGCAGCTCCTGGAACTTCATCTCCACCAGCTGCCTCCGCCCGTCCACCTCGTCAGTGTCCTTCACCTCCTGACCCAGAGCCTTGACCTGGGTCTGCAGCTCCACCACCTCCTTCTGCCGCACCTCCACCTGCTTCTCCAGCATCTACGGGACAACCACAGTTACTACTAGTACTACATTACATTCATTTAGCTTTTATCTAAAGCGACTTACAATAAGTGTTTTCAACATAGGTATTCAAGAGAACTACTAGTCACCAGAAGTCATGAGTGCATCTCCTTTAAACAAGCCTCTAAGAAAATAAACCAGAGCAAAAGTACAGAAACAAACTAGTATGAATACAATAAGTGGTGAGTGGAAGGCTCAGGGTAGTACTTCTTGAAGAGGTGAGTTTTCAGGCTGATGAAAGATGGGCAGCGACTCTGCTGTCCTGACGTCAGTGGGGAGTTCATTCCACCACTGTGGGGCCAGGACAGAAAACAGCCGCGACCGGGTCGATCGGCCGCAGGGACCTCTGAGCGACGGGGCAACGAATTGCCCCGAGGCAGTAGAGCGAAGTGGTTGGGCGGGGGTGTAGGGCTTGACCATGGCCTGGAGATAGGAAGGAGCTGTTCCTTTCACTGCCCTGTAGGCTAGCACCAGAGTCTTAAACTGGATGTGAGCTCTTACAGGGAGCCAGTGGAGAGAACGGAGAAGGGAAGTTGTGTCGGAGAACTTGGGGTGATTGAACACCAGACGAGCTGCAGCTTTCTGGACAAGCTCCAGAGGTCTGATGGCCGACGCCGGGGCTCTGCCAAGTAGTGAGTTGCAGTAGTCCAGGCGGAAGATGACAAGAGCCTGGACGAGCACCTGCGACATCTCGTCAATGTTTGCTGAGAACGAGTTGGTCATCCAGGGTCACACCCAGATTCCTCGCAGTCCAATTTCGCGTCACCACGGTATCATCAATGGTGATAGACAGGTCTCGGTGAAGGCAACCCTTCCCCAGGAGGAACAGTAGCTTGGTTTTGTCCAGGTTGAGCTTCAGGTGGTGTGTCGCCATCCACTTCGAGATCTCAGCCAAGCACGCAGCGATGCGTGCCTCCACTTGAGTGTCACCGGGGGGAATTGACAAGACCAGCTGGGTGTCATCGGCATAACAATGGTAAGAGAAGTCATGCGAGCGAATAACAGAACCCAGAGATGTTGTGTAGAGCGAGAAGAGAAGGGGGCCCAGAACTGAGCCTTGTGGAACCCCCGTAGTCAGCATGCGTGGTTCTGACATGGCCCCCCTCCATGTCACCTGGTAGGATCAACCTGTCAGGTAGGATGCAAACACGGAGAGTGCAGAGCCTGAGACGCCCATCCCCTCGAGGGTGGAGAGGAGGATCTGGTGGTTCACAGTGTCAAACGCCGCAGACAGGTCCAGGAGAATCAGGACAGAGGAGAAAGAGTTAGCTCTCGCAGCGTGAAGCGACTCAGTCACCGCAAGGAGGGCTGTCTCTGTCGAGTGACCCACTTTGAACCCGGACTGGTGGGGGTCCAAGAGGTTGTTATGGTGGAGATAGGAAGACAGTTGGTTAAAGACAGAAGGGTAGAAGAGAAACCGGTCTGAAGTTCTTGACATCAGAGGGGTCAAGTGATGGTTTCTTCAGAAGGGTTGGCGAAATCATCAGGGAGAAGGGAGGAAGTAGGAGGAGGGGGTGGGGGTTGGAGGAGTGAGGAGAAAGTTTCTAAGAGTTTTTTAGGATTGGAAGCAGAGGTTAGGATTTTAGAGCAGAAGAAAGCAGCTTTAGCAGTAGATAGAGAGGAGGAACAAGTGGAAAGAAGAGCTTGGAAGTTAAGAAGGTCCTCCGGGAGTTTGCCTTTTCTCCATTTACGCTCAGCCTCTCTTAGGCTCCATCTATCAATACGCACTGAGTCTGACAGCCATGGGGCAGGTGGAGTTGACCGTGCAGGCCTGGATGTGAAGGGACAGAGGTTGTCCAAAGAGGAGGAAAAGGTGGAGAGGAGAAGATCAGTAACAGTATCAGGGGATAGGAGAGGGAAGGATTCAGGGTTAGGGAGGGCCGAGGTAATAGAAGAGGAAAGATCAGCGGGGGAGAGGGAGCGGAGATGACTACGGGTAGAAATCATGTGGGTAGGTGGAGGAAGTACGGGGGGAGAGGAGAGGGAGTAGTACATGAAATAGTGGTCAGAGAGCTGGAGGGGAGTGACAGAGAGGTTAGCAGTAGAACAGTGTCTTGTGAAGATAAGATCCAGCTGGTTGCCTTGTGGGTCGGAGGAGATGAGAAGTGGTAAAGGTCAAAGGAGAGGAAGGAAAGAAGAGGTTCTAACTCATCAGTCTGGATGTTGAAGTCGCCAAGCAGGATGAGTGCGGAGCCATCATCGTGGAAGTGCGAGACTAATGTGTTGAGCTCCTCCAGGAACTCACCAAGAGGCCCTGGTGGGCGATACACAACAGCAATGGTGAGCTTGACTGGATAAGTGACAGTAACAGCATGAAATTCGAAAGAGGACGGGGAGAACTGTGGAACAGAGGCAAGAGAGTATTTCCATTTTGGGGAGATTAGCAGGCCAGTACCACCACCTCGCCTCGCAGCTCTGGGAGTGTGAGAGACAGAGTACACATCTGACAGAGCTGTGGGTGTGGTGGTGTTTTCTGGTGTGATCCAGGTCTCAGTTAGAGCAAGAAAGCTGAGGGAGAGCAAGGATGCATAGCCTGAGATGAACTCAGCTTTCGGCACTGCCGACTGGCAATTCCAGAGCCCTCCTGCCACCACTTGCTCGCCATGAGCTGGGAGAGTAGGATAGATGAGGTTAGTGAGGTCACGGCACCTGGGAGTGGCCCAATGTCTACGTGACCACCGGACAGAGGAACGGACAGAAATAGGATGCAAACACATGGTAGTCAATCTAAACAGATTACTGACCCGCAAGTACACGCTCGAGAAGTCTGTGCTTGACATAGTCTGGCTTGAAAAAGGCGCTCTGTTGACTTTGTTCACCCTAGTCTTAGTTTGCCTGACGCTTCCAACCACCAGCAGTGGTTAAGGACAGCTACCTACTGATTGCTCATTGTCTGCCAGGAGTGCAAGCCACTCCCCTGGCACTTAGCAGGGCAATTGACCAAGTGAAACTAAATCACACCTACCTTACACAATCAGAAACTGCGAAAGTACTAACACTGAAGCAGCCTAGGTACAGCTAATAGCAACTAGTAAAAGCAAGAACAATATATTAGTCTATTCTAGCTGAGTCAGTAGTTCAGTATCCCTCCAGAAGCCAAATACACTCTTGTAATGGTAAATACTGCTGATACTACTAAAACTGTAAAGTCAATCAAATGACTACAGACACAAAACAACTACAGAGACAAAACAACAACTACAAAGACACAACACAACTACAAAAGAGACACAAAACAACCACAAAGAGACACACAACAACCATAAAGACCCAACACAACCATCAAGAGACACACAACTACAAAAAAAACACAAAACAACCACAAAGACACAACTACAAAGAGACACAAAACAACCACAAAGAGACCAGATAGAAATGTCTCAGAGAACTCAGCAGGTTAAAAAATGTTTATCTGGTTTAAGAGATTCAGTTCTGAAAAACCAGCTCCTGATTGGTTGGACATGTTTCTACAGGTGTCACTTTAAATACAGAAAGGTGTTCAGGTGTTGTTGTTGCTCCTCCCACCTGCTGATGACATCATGCCCTCTTATTATTCAGCTGTCGGGCCAGCGTGAGGCAGAGGAACGTCGGCGGTCAGACGGCGTACGACGTGGCGGTGAAGTCCGGACGTGACGACATGGTGTCTCTGCTGGCTGCTCAGACTGGACCGGACCTGCTGGGAAAACTGGGGAAACCCAAAGTGAACCTGGATGGTTTCTGACTCCCACCTAGTTTAATCTCATCCACATGTTGTAACAACCGTGGAGGAAGCTCCTCTGTGGTGACGATTATATGAGATATTGACATGTTTTTATTTTTGTTCCAAATGACTGAACGTACCATTCTAAATGCTCTATAAATAAGATGTATTGTTGCTTTTTAGATGATAAAGAGGAAAGTCTATTGTGATATTGCGACAGCTCTAATTAAATCAACATAAAGTACTGATGTTTGTAGACTTCTAGTACATATAGTACTCATACTAGTAATAGTACTCTTACTGCTTTGTCATTTAAATATTGTGTTGAACCTGTGAAATGGATACTGTAGCCAGTGAATGTGTCGCTTCACTGGATGTATTTTAACATAAAAAGTTATGTTGACAAATGTGTTTGGAGTTAATTTAATTTCTGTCGAAAAATAAAATTCAGTCAGAAAAGCAAACTGGGGATGAGGGCCACGTGATTACATTACATTACATTACAGTCATTTAGCAGACGCTTTTATCCAAAGCGACTTACAATAACTGTATTCAACATATTCAAGAGAACTACTAGTCACCAGAAGTATGAATACAATGAATGCTAAGTAAGTGCTAAGTGGAAGGCTCAGGGTAGGCCTTCTTGAAGAGGTGAGTTTTCAGCCTGCGATGTGAAGGAGGTAGGAGCGCCGGACAGGAGCTCCCGGACTGAACACTTTTTTGAACATTTCAGGTATAGCTTAACATTAATAAAATAGGGCGACCGAAGTAGTAATGTCACTGCAGGATCTTTGGGGGAAAAAACTGAAAAAGGACGAACCGGACGGTCCAGACTTCGAAAAACTCAGCCCGAAAAAGAGACCAGCGACTCCGACAACGTGTCACGTGTCGAAGTGTCCCTGAGCAAGACACTGAACCCCTAACGGCTCCCCGGGCGAGCTGTCATTGGCAGCCCACTGCTCCCTATATACAGGGATGGGTCAAATGCAGAGACCAATTTCCCCTTCCGGGATCAATATAGTATAATAAATTAAAAATTAAAATTAAAAAAATGATATTGATTAACAGTAGAGCTGCATCACATGCTCTGACTGTCATGAAGACACAAGACACACATGTAGATGAAACGTGCTGAAACATGTTATTCATGTTGCACAGCAGTGGAACGTTTCACACACAGTCACACACTGAGCACAGATAGTGAAGAGATGGAACTGCTGCTGTGTAAAGAGAATACTGCTGCTAACAACAACCTGATGTGTTTAAAGTGTTTACATCAAATGTTATTGACCTTTTGTTCATATAGCAGTACTTTCAAAATAAAAGTGCACAATGCACTACTTTTGAATTCATTATTGAACTTTGCCATAACAATGAAATTAATCGCAATTAATCGCAAAATATTCATGCGATTAATCGCGATAAAAAATTGTAATTGTTGCCCAGCACTACTAATAATTGCATCAAGAAGGAAAGCACTTTATTTATAGCCTATTAAGTGCTGCAGAATAAATTTATTTTTTTAATTTATTTTGTCTTTTTTTGGCTGCACAACTGGGAAAAGTTTTTATATATATATTTTGGATATAGAATATACTGTTACTGTATATTGGCATTTTAGCAGAACGTTTTTTATTCATTTATTTAATTATTTATTATTATTATTATATATTTGGTGCAGAATACTGTTTTGTATTTAAACTAAAGTTTTCTTACTGTTATTATGTTTAAATCAGTTCCAAGTTACACAAATGTTAATATATTTTAATAAAGTTTGCCTGTTCAACATAATATCAACTAACTTTTTTTCATATCTCGGGGGAGGGGGGCTGGGGGGGGGGGCTGGCAGTGTCCCTACCAATGCTGAGACCAAACCTACGCCCTTGCATGAAGGGGGCGCGCAGCGCGGCTGAGGCCACTTTCTCCGGGAACCGCACACTTCTTTGATGACTTCTCACCAGTGGTGGAAAAAAACGACGCGAATTCCTGGAGGCAAAGACCCTGCGCCTGAATAGTTTAAGTATGCGACACCTTTCTTTTCTTTTGTTCTCTGCATGCTGAAACTTTCAATAAGTTCAAGTTTCAGTTTATGTTTTTGAGTTTGTTTTTGTCATTCATTGAGTTTGTTTTTGTTCTTAAATGTTCTGTTCTGTACCACACCACCGGAAAGGAATATCTATCTGAACTAGGTCAGCAAAGGTCATTAACACATCTCCAGAGCGCCTCCAGGAGGTCTCTGAGAGGACAGCGTCTCTCTGTGACAGAGAAAGAAGTAGGACATGTCAGGGATAGATAGCATCAAACTTTGTACATTTAATGTAAAGGGGATCCATCATCCAATTAAGAGGAAGAAAATACTAAGCCTTCTAAAAAAAGACAAGATACAAATAGCTTTCTTACAAAAAACCCAGCGAGTGGATAAGGAGCACATGAAACTTAAGCGGGACTGGGTAGGCCAGGTTTACTACTCATCATTTTCCTCTAATAGCAGAGGAGTCTATCTTAATACACAAGGCCACCCCATTCATACTCAGTACATGTAGAAGCCACTCTGAGGGCAGATACATCCTTGTTCACGGCACAATGTATGGCACACCGGTCACTTTGATTAATATTTATGCACCAAATTCGCCAACTCCGTCATTTTGGACTACAATAGCAGCAGAAATAGAGGAACACAGATCTCCCTCTGCAGTTCTAGGTGGTGACTTGAATTGGTCTCCAGCAGACACAAGTAGAAGAACAGGTGCAGGTGCTTTATGAGGTAAATATATATATAGATGATATAAATCTGATAGATGTATGGAGGAACCTGAAACTATCAGTGAGAGACTTCACATTCTACTCTAATCTGCATAACTCTTACTCACGCATAGATTACTCTTTTGCCGCGCCGCAGATTAGAGGACAAGTAAAAGCATGTAGTAGAGGATCTCTACATATCAGCGACCATGCCCCAGGATAGCTGGAGATGACTGAGAGTGAAGCTATGTCTGGCACACAGAGATGGCGTTTCCCATCATATCTCCTCACGGACAAGGAATTTAAAAAAAAGATGGAGGCTGAGTTAGATTTATTTTTTGACATCAACGACAACATGAAACAAACCCTGAGTGTCTCTGCCGGGGCTGAAAGAGAGGTGGCTGATTACCCTGAGAAGGTTGGTGTGGGGACAAAGAAGGAAACGTTTGGGGAGAGGAGGACAGGAGCGCACAAAGAGAAAAAGCGTTTTATTTTACATTAAAGACAACGAACCCGAAGAAAACTGAAGATACTTACGTTTGGTTTTTGTAGCGGCTTTCGGCTGGAATGAAGTTTTCCTTTTGCTTAAAGAATCTAAATATATTATTTTGAGTTAGAACACAACCGCTTGTCTTCATTTGTGCACCCACGCCTCACAAGCTGATCCCGACCTCTGAAGACATCACACTATATTAGAGGATTTACTCTCATATATGTCACACCGGAAAAAAACTACTTCAGAAGCAGAATGAACTGGAAACGGACTTAATAAAGGCAGAGCTGGCCTGTAAGTCTAGTCCAACCAGAACTAATCTCATTAGAGTCCAAAGTATCAGAGCGGCACTAAATTCAATTCTGAATGAGAAAACACCTCGATCCTTATTCTATCAGAAGCAACGACTGTATGAATATGGAAACAAAGATAGCAAATATTTGGCCCGTCTGCTCAACCAGAAACTAGATGACACCATAGCAGCACCATAGCAACACCATAGCAGCTCCATAGCAGCTCCATAGCACCACCACCATAGCAGCACCATAGCAACACCATAGCAGCTCCATAGCACCACCACCATAGCAGCACTATAGCAACACCATAGCAGCTCCATAGCAACACCATAGCACCACCATAGCAGCATCATAGCACCACCATAGCAGCTCCATAGCACCACCATAGCAGCACCATAGCAACACCATAGCAGCTCCATAGCAACACCATAGCAGCATCATAGCACCACCATAGCAGGCTCATAGCACCACCATAGCAGCAATCAGAGATCCAGGAGGGAAGACATTTAAATAAGAAAAATATCAACTGTTTCTGTATCATTTTACAAATCATTATACAAAACTGATAACACTAAAGAAGAACTTGACGAATTATTTTCTAAAATTAAATGACCTACACTAACAAGAACAGCAACAATCTTTGGGGAAACCCATTCAGGAACAGGAAATATTAGAAGGCTTTGATGCACAGTGGACAATCACCAGGATGGGTTCCCAGCGGAGTGGTTTAAAGCCTTTAAAACAAGCTCACTCCTCATCTGGTCAGAACTTATAATTACAGCTTTGACACAACTCACCACCTACCTGTAACAATGTGGCTAGCCAACATTAGCCTGATCTTGAAAAAGAACAAGGACCCCGAAGACCCAGCGTCTTACAGGCTCATATTGCTCATTAATGTAGACGCAAAGATTTTAGACAAGGTATTGGACTTGGGTATATGGATATATGGATATATGGATAGGGTATATGGACTCTGAGGCTTGAACCATTAATATCAATATTAGTAAATCCTGGTCAAACAGGTTTTATTAAAGGGAGGAATTCCTCCAATAATATCAGGAGGCTTCTGAACATAACATCGTCTCGAGCTGAACTTGTATCTTGAATCGCTGTATTTGACCCGTTTACCTGTCGAGGAGTCACAGCGCCGCCTGCTGGACAAAGTGTGAAGGAAGAAGTGAAGTCAATTGAATTCATTTTGTTTTAATGGAAAAAAAAAAAAAAACTGAAGCACGAGACAAAAGTGAATTGTATATTTCACCAAAAGTCACAAATCTCACGTTTTTAATAACAAAAATACAGTTAAATTAGATTTTTTTTCAGTGTTTTCTGAGACTGAAAACCTGCCGCCCTCTTCAGCAGCTACTGTCCAGGTGCCTTTGAGCCAGGCATTGTGCTGCAGACTGGTCGTGGTCCACCAAAAGGAGAAGAGCCGTCTCCAACTATCAGGTGAACTCAGCGTCTCAGTCGGAGGAAGAAGGCGTGGCGGCACTCTGTGCTGTCCACAGGATAGTATTTATCGTAGAAGTCCAGGATGTACTCCTCCGCCTTAAAACCAAACTTCTGATAAAGCAGCATGGCGGGGTTACTGGCCGACACGTGCAGAGTCACGTCTTTCCCCATGCACGTCTGGAAAACACACCACGTTTTAGTGTCGTTAGAGGACAATAATAATAATAATATAATAATAAACTGTGTCAACATGCAGTCAGGAAGTCAGCATTCATGCTTTCTAGTCACAGATATCCAATCATGATGCCAGCCAACGTTAGCCGTTAGCTCAGTTATTTAGCCAAGCTAACAGCGTAGCAACATTTGAAACAACCCTAAATTCTTGTACATTATAACGTTATCATGATGTGTTCACATGTAATCTGTAAAATGTAGTTTTGGTGATAACCTTGAATAAATCCAGTAGTCTGGAGATGTTTTCACATGAATATAAAATAGATATTAGAGATGAATTATGAGCAGTTTACCTTCCTAACATGAGCTCTAAGCTCATTATACTTCATTAAAAATAATGATGTTTTATTCAATAAAAAAAAGAAAAAAAAAAAAAAAAAAAAAGAAAAGGTAGTTCCTCATTTGAAATGTGTTTTTAAACAAATAACCAATAAAGATGATAATAAAGTAAAAAGGAGACTATTTAAAGCTTTTATTGTCCAAATCTGTTGATTTTATAATAGGTGTTTATTTTCCATTTCGTAGGCGAGTCTGAGTATCGGGCAATTAAATGAAAAGCTTAAAAGTCCAGTCTGCTTTGATCACGATACAGTCAGGTTTTAAAAATGTCAGCGTCACATGTTGAAGCACAATTCTAGCATTTAGTTTGTAGCCTCCAAACCGGTTTTAGCCTTGAAATGTGCCACAGATGGACAGACGGTCTGACCTCTGGAGCCTCACCTGGATGAGATGGTAGATCATGAAGGTGCCGATGCCGGCTCTCCTCCACTCAGGATGGACCAGCAGGAAGGAGATATAGGCCTCGTTATACTTCACGTCAGGAACCATGAAGCCAAAGCCGACCACGACTTTCTTATAGAGGACGACCACGCTGAAGTCCGGGTACTGCAGGCACTCCGACAGGTCAACACCTGGAGGAGACCGGACGAATGGTTTAGAGAGACAGCTTGATGGTAGGACGGTTCTAGGTACGTAGAAGAATGTGCCTCGGTGCTACCTGGCCAAAAGTTGTCATGACACATGGCGTTAACCGAGGGGATGTGGTTTGGGCGGACATAGCAGTAATCAATGGAGGCGTTGGGTTCAGGGGTCCAGTCAGGGTCCTTTCTGTGAGGGTAAGCTCTGATCTCATCCAACAACCTCAGCTTCACTGGACGACTCTCAAAATCCCTCCTGGAAAACAAACACAGTCCTGTACTTCCTACTATGATTACTAATACTAGAGGACTCTCGACCCGATCAGAGGTTTCAGGACTCTCTTCACTAAACTGAATGTTTTAGAAAACTCTTTACCTGATGTACGGTTTCAGGATGCGAGAGGTGTATGGACTCTTGATGCTCTGGTCCGAACTGGTCTCTGCTCCCATCAATCGGCGCCAGAAAGACACAGAATGCTGATCGATGCCTCTTCTGCTAGAAAGGTTGGTCTGCACACAAACATCTACATCAGTGGTTCTCTCAGCGTTCTTTAAGGGGTTTCAGCATCAGCAACACAACCAGAAGCAGTTCATCATCTTGAGGCTGAAACCACAGTTGTCTACTGTTTATCATTTGAACATTTTACTGTTGCTCGGGGTGTAAGAACATACTGATACACTTGAGTAACAAGACATCATGTTTTGTGATACTGTAATGACTCGATCATGTAAAGATCTGTGGCAGACAGCGTGGCTCAGACCACAGTAGTGAAATGATGCCTGATGTTCAAAGGACTGTGCTAAATGCAGATCCCACTATTTCAACTGCATAAAACAGTCAACATTTTTTGGTCTGATTTGATGCATATGGCGGTGTGTTCTTTATACTATGAGTTTTCCTTCCATTAATGTAGTATACTGAACTGCAACCTCTGTATCACGATCGGTCTCGTAACGGCAGATTCTTGCCAATACACAACCCTAGAGGTCACATTGCTGCCCTAAAGTTACAGCCGCTAACATGAACTAAAATAACTTTTTGTTACTATTTACTGACAGGACATAACACGGATGATCTGTAAAACAAATACACACAAGAAAACAGGTTCCTCTGCCTCCTTTAGTTCTCTTGATGGCATTTGCAAGATTCCACCGAGCTCAAGTGAAAACAACCAATCAGAGCCGAGGATTTGTTAGAATAAAACCAGTCGGGCGATTGACTGAATAAGACCAGGATGAATGTTGAAGGTACCTGGAAGCGATCAAGGATACGCAGCTCCTGGCTGGTGGTGCAGTATTTCCCCATGACTCCACCCTGCACCAGTGTCCCCGTCACCTGGGCGCCGTAGATCCCTCCCACCAGGCTGAGGGTGGCGCTGACCGCCCGGTCAACGTCCAGCAGGGGGAGCCCTCTCTGCCTCTTGGCCTGACGGACCAGCAGCTTCCTGTGGAGGCGTTTGGCCTGCGGTGTGACGGCCAAGGCCAGCGGGCAGGCGTCCAGCCGTCGGAGCAGCATCCTCTCCTCGTAGAGGCTGAGGGAGGTGAAGCGAGGAGTCTGGGAGACACCGCCAGCTCCATCTGCTTTCTCAGGATGAGTTATCCTCCTCCGCTCCAGACCTCCCCCAGTGGAGAGAGATGGACCTTCGCCGCGCCCCACCGGCTCCTCGAAGTCGTTGTTGTGCTCGAGTCCTTCATCGTCCTCGCTGTCGGCTTCACGTTTGATGTGTGGTGGCGCCGGCCGGAGCTTCTTACGGGCGATAAGGTTGGCGCGAGGAGGAGGGATGTACTCCATCCCCGGGTCGATCATTCCCTCCGTCTCCATCTCCTCATCATCTGGAGGTCCAAGGCAGCAGAGAGGACATGCCGTCAGTGGACAGTTATTCTAGGACATGTTCATTTCTATTAAGAACACCAGGATGAGTCGAATACTAACTCACCGTGGAACAGAGCCTGTGGAGGCATGGCGTCCGGGATCAGGTCCGCCTCTGACAGCAGGCTGGGTGTTGCCGAGTGAGATGCCGGCGTCCCCGGGGCAGAAAAATCTGGCGAAGGCGATGGTGACGGGCTGGTGAGCGGCGTTCGGTCCGATGAGCTGAGGGAGGAGAAATCGATGACTTCACCTTTCTCCAGGACGAGGTCGGCCCGGCGCCCGGCACCCCCCCCGCGGCCTCCTCCTCCCAGTTTGACCGGCGTGGAGCAGGCGCTGCGATCCGTGTAGCCCCCCACTGCCTCCTTCTGAGCCCGCCTGATGTCTTTGGCCTCTTGTGTACGACAACGCTTCTCCTTCAGCTGGATGGCGTTCTCCACTGGGTTTCTGGCTCCTCGCTTCCTCAGGCCCTCTACGGTGATGATTGGGTCCATGGCAGGTTTTGATGCTGCAGGTGAGAATATTAGGAGAGTGTAATTTCTGCCACATTTTGACTGAGCTCTCCTGGATCAGTGCAGGTTACCTTTAGCCTTGCTAGTGGACTTGTCTGTCTCCGGCCGCAGAGTTGGAGGTCTGTTCTGGACCAGCTTCCACCAGCCCGGCTCGCCGAACTCCTGTGCTCCAGACCGGAAGAAGGTGGGACTGCCGACCGACAGGCAGCCGGCCACCGTGCTCCACCACGTCGATGTCTTCTTCCTGCAACAGTCATCAGGTCAAACACTGCGACAGGAGAATCATCACATCATCAGGAACGGTTCATTAAGACAGGACGTGCCGAACTACGCATCATCTTCTGGACCAATCAGGAACGGTTCATTAGTAATCAATTCTGTACTAAAAATATTTTAAACATTTTAAAAAAACAATATAAAAAGCTGAGCAAAGGCAAAATGATGGTTCCTGATTGGTCAAGACAGAACGATGACACATTCAATAATGAAGGCATGTGGTCACATGACCAACAGTGTAATGAAGTTCAATGAAGAGCAGGATGGAATATGAAGTCAGCTGAATAATAACAAGTATCAATAAAGGTTTAGAGTGACCTTGTTCCCAGCAGGAAGTTCCAGTGTCGACCAATAAAAGCACAGATGTCCTCTTTCCACCTGAAGTAGCCCTGTCGGCCCGTCCCCTCCAGAGACAGGTTGTACATGGCCAACATCACCACCTGAGAAACATCAACACGGATCACTGCCAGGTAGTTTACCTGCTGCCAGGCGAGTCTCCTGCTCTACTGTTCTGATGTGATGGTAGTTTACCTGCTGCCAGGTGAGTCTCATTCTCTCAAAGCTCTCCTTTCCGTCCTCGGAGCAGTCAAAGCAGATGAATTTGAAGAAGTTGTCTCCTTTCAGGTAGCTGGGCTGCTCTCCTCTGAGCTGAGCTGATACACAAACACAAACTGCTGTCATCTACATGTTATCATATATATCTCTCTCTCACTCTCACACACACTCACACTCACACACACACACACACACACACACACACACACACACACACACACACACACTAGTGATGCCCCTAGTGGACACCAGGAGAACATGTATTAACTCACCTGCAGGAACCCACTTGTGGCAGCGGTCGCAGTAGAAGGACATGTCCTCACAGCCTCCGTCAGCCTCCTCGCCCACGTCGCTGGTTAGAGAGTCTCCACTCTGGTCATGTGATAGATCTACTGATCCTTGGTCCTCAGACTCTACGATCAGAAGAGTCTCCCCCTCCACCTCCCCCTCCTCCAGGCCCTCTGAGGGCGCCTCGTCCTCAGCTCCGCCCAGCTGCTCGCTGCTGCTGTCCATCACTTCCACACCTGTACAAGTAAACATCAGGTGAGTCGGTTCTGGATCATCAACAGCTTCTCTGAGAAGACCGAATGTATTTTCTTCATCTGAACTGTCAGAGTAAATATCAGAGGAGAGAACTCTCTTGTTTCAGCATCTAGTCCATTTACTCAAGTATCGCAGTTAAGTACAATTTTGTATTTTAATTTGATGTAACTTAATACATCTCAGAGAGAAGTATTTTACTTTTAACTCCACTACATTTGATAATAAACGTTACTAGTTCGGCTACTTTACAGACTCAGATTCTTAAACATAACAAAAAAAAAAAAAACTATGATGTACTATTAAGTAGTATTTTGCCTAATTATTAAGTATATGAAGTAGTTAAAATGAGCTCCATATATGCATCAATTACTATAATACAATGATAAATATATTATTATTCTACATGATGACTTAAATTTTGGTGCTTTAAATAGATTTTGAGGCCAATTGTTTTGTACTTTTACTGAAGTAACATTTTGAATTACACTGTTCTCTAACAAATACTTTCATCATAAACACGTTAGTTAGGATACCAGTACTCCAACATCACGTGACTGTTCACGTACACTGGGCATGATGGAGCCGGTGTAAACAGGAAGTAGATCGGATGCTTAGTTACAGAAAATATGACAGAGTAATGAAGTAGTCTTTAATAATCAAAGGTCGTGTTTTATACTTAAGATATTCCTCTAAAAACTCAGACACATTTAGTGGAAAGTTTTATTTTTCAGACTTAGAGAGAGACAGACGGACTTGTGACTAACAAATCAGTTTACTAGATTAAGGATCAATAAAGGTGATCAGCTCGTCTCTTTCCTCCGTGTTTCCTTGTTGTCCGTTTTCTCTCTCATATCTCTGCTGGTGTCTGAAGTCTCTTTATGCTTTTGTTCCTTTATAGTTTATGTGTGAACTTCACCAAAGTTGTGCAGAACAAAATAAGCATCAATAAGAAAAGTCCTCCGTTTTGTGTCCATTGTCCTCAAACTGTCACTACAGACGTCTCCGTAGGGCTGATAACTCACTAATCGCTCAAATAACAACTGCTTCCTCCTCATAGACAGGAGTGCAATTATAAAATGTAGAATTTAACTGCACAACAGCTCATTGTAAACGCAGCAGAAGATGCGAGTTTTAAAACAGAAACGTAGTCGTGTGGACATGAACTTAGAGTAAAGCACGACTTCGCCCATCGAGCAAAGACAGAGACAGAGAAAGGATGTCTCACTCCAGAACTTCTAAAGTACCGATAGCAGAACTCTTAACTCCGGGTCTTATTGGGTTTTGGGGTGAGTTTAGTTAACCCTAACTCTCCTGACGGGACAGAAAAGTCTTCAGGTCCAGGTAAAGGTCCTCCGAGTGTGAACAGGTGCGTTACCCGTCTGTGCGGTTACCCGTCTCTCACTGGTCTTGTGGGCAGAGCTCCGTCTGTCTGCGTCGTCTCTCCTCCTCCAGCTGTGAGGTTAGAGTCTTCTGCTCCTCCAGCAGACAGAGGTTCTCCTTCTTCTTCTGCAGTCGCTCCAGATCTCTGACGACACCCTCGTGGAGACGCTACACAACACAAGAGCCACCGATGAAATCTGTTTCTACAAATAGTATATTATACGTTAATGAAGTTAACCCTAATAATACCCGATAATATTAAACACACACGGCAGCGTCTCAGTGCCTTTAGGCCTCTAGACGTGATGAAGACGAGCTCCTCCGCTCGCCATGACTTTCACCGTTAAATGCTTTTAAGCTGCTCCGTTCACGTGAACACACTACTGCTTTATATCTGTTCACTGACGCTCTGCATTGATATTCAGCAGTGTTTCCCCTACCATTATATCAGGGGGCGCCCGGGACCCCCTTAAAGGTCAAGTTAATTTTATAGCACCAGATCACAACAGAAGTCATTTCAGGTTACTTTTCATATAGAACAGGTCTATACCTTGTGTTTTCTCTCTCTCTCTCTCACACTCACACACACACACACACACACACACACAGGAGATGTTCTTCCAGAAGCTCAGAAAGATGCACTGCAGTGAGAAAAGCTGCACACTTTATGTTTTAACGTTAGTCAAAACCCTTTGCCCTTCCGGGGTCAAACACCTGACAACCACGGCGATTTCAGGACCTATATACCTGAGCCCAGGACATAAATACAGCGCCACCCAATGTACACACAAAGAAATACAGTTGTATTTACAACACCATATTTGGCTCCAACACCATGATTCCTTTAAGTGTTTGTGTCAGTGTCCGCCGCCCCAAAGCTGTAAAGCTAGGGGAAACACTGTTCAGGGACCTGTTACTTGAACAGGAACAGCAGCAGTAAAAATGTATTACACACCAAGATGAATAAACTGTAAAAAAAAGAAATACTCAATTGATCCGCGGTTCACAAGTGATCCGAACCGGGAGGGGTGATCCGTTACACCACTATACTGTATATAAACAGTATATACATTGCCTTGCATAAGTATTCACCCCCTTGGACTTTTCTACATTTTGTCATGGTATAACCACAGATTAAAATTAATTTCACTGGGATTTTATGTAATGGACCAACACAAAATACTCCATTTGGAAGTGGGGGGAAATATATGGATTCCAAAATTATTTACAAATACAAATCTGAAAAGTGTTGAGTGCATATGTATTCACCCCCCGAGTCAATACTTGGTAGAAGCCCCTTTCGCTGCCATTACAGCTGCAAGTATTTTGGGGTATGTCTCTACCAGCTTTGCACATCTAGAGATGGAAATGTTCATCCATTCTTCTTGGCAAAAAAGCTGAAGCTCAGCCAGATTGGATGGAGACCGTCTGTGAACAGCAATTCTCAAGTCTTCCCATAGATTCTCAATTGGATTTAGGTCTGGGCTTTGACTGGGCCATTTTAAGACATTAACGTGCTTTGATCTAAACCATTCCATTGTAGCTCCGGCTGTATGTTTAGGGTCATTGTCCTGCTGGAAGATGAACATCCGTCCCAGTCTCAAGTTTTTTGCAGAACGCATCAGATTTTCTTCAAGGATTGCCCTGTATTTGGCTCCATCCATCTTATCCTCAATTCTGACCAGTTTCCATGTAGCTGCTGAAGAGAAGCATCCCCACAGCATGATGCTACCACCGCCATGTTTCACTGTTGGGATGCTGTGCTCAGGGCGATGGGCAGTGTTGGGTTTCCGCCACATATAGCGTTTTGCATCGAGGCCAAAAAGTTCAATTTTGGTGTCATCTGACCAGAGCACCTTCTTCTACATGTTTGCTGTGTCTCCCACATTTTGTATGGTTCACTTTCAACACCGGCTTTTTTTTGCCACTCTTCCATAAAGGTCCGATTTGTGGAGCACACTAGTGCTGGGCGGTATACCGGTTTTAATTTCCCGTACGATATGAATTTTTCACACACCGTCATACCGGTGCATAGAAACTACTGCTGTCGCTCTTCAACAGGCAGCAGAATATATTGTTTGCAGCCAAGAGCACTGCGGTCGGAGCTAGTTGTCTTAAGTGTGTTGAGAGGGACCTCTAATCATGGTTATAACCCACAACTAACGCTCTTTAACAGAGCAAAACACCATGACACAACAGTTTGTGACACATAAACAATTTGTAACACTAATAATTGTACATTTATAAAATTACACCGCCGAACGGCATGCTGGGTACAGCTCGCTAGCTAGCCCGCTAGCACAACAGTCTGCCAACAGCTGGGAGAGGCTCCGTCGCTACAGTAACATTACATTAAAGAACAGAACAGAGCGATGCAGGAGGAACAAAGACAGACCGGAGATGCACCGATAGAGTCTGTGCCCAAGAGAGGAGCTGGCCCGTCGGATTCGAAGTCGTCGACCAGTAACGTTAGCACGAGTGAAACAGTGAAGCTAAAGGGTCAGACATCGATTGAAGAGACATTTGCTCGAGGCACTGCAAGAAAAGCAAGCGGCAGAGCGACATTACGAACGCAATAACGATCCAGCTATGCAAGGACATGGTCCCGCTACAGACAGTCGAGGAAGACGGGTTCAGAGCAATGATTAAAACACTGGATTCAAGGTACATCTGACCGGGGCGACAATACTTCAGCCAAACTGCTATCCCAACATTATAGGAACAAACGAGCACACCCTATAGTAAGAAAAGCCTTCATACATGAAGACATTAACATGTTTTATATTCTATGTACTCCTGACAGTAGAGTAAGCCTCTATAAACGTATAGAAAAACAGTCATGGAAAATAAATAATAATCTGTGATATACCGTGAAACCGCCAGAATCTTAAAAAACACTGTGATACAAATTTTTTGTCATACCGCCCAGCACTAGAGTACACGATTAATAGTTGTCCTGTGGACAGATTCTCCCACYTCAGCTGGGGATCTTTGCAGCTCCTCCAGAGTTACCATGGGCCTCTTGGTTGCTCCTCTGATTCATTTTCTCCTTGTCCGACTTGTCAGTTTGGGTGGACGGCCTTCTCACAACTTTATCCCTGACCTGTTTGGTGAGCTCCTTGGTCTTCATGATGTTGTTTGTTCAGTAATGCCCTTTAACAGACTGAGGCCTTCACAGAACAGGTGTATTTATACTGAGATTACATTTCAGACAGCTGGACCCTATTTACTAATTACGTGACTTGTGAAGGTAATTGGTCGCACCAGATCTTTGTTAGGGGTTTTACAGTAAAGGGGGTGAATACATATGAACTAAAGAACATTCTTTACCCTCCAGACTTCCTGTTGTGAACTAAAGATCCTTCTTTACCCTCCAGACTTCCTGTGTGACACTCTGACTGGTCATGGACGTCTCCGACCCGCAGACACTCGGCTTCGTGGTCTTCGGAGGGTTCATGTTCATCTCTGCGGTGGGCATCGCCCTCGTGTCCACGCTGTCCATGAAGGAGACGTCGTATGAGGAGGCGCTGGCCAAACAGCGCCGCGAGCTCGTCCGGACACGGCCGCAGAGAGCAGAGAAGAAGAAGAAGGACAAGACCTTGGAGAAGAAGAACAAAGCCAAGAAGAAGGAGGACCGGCCCGACAACAAGCTCTCAGAACCAGGCAGCGACGGTGGCGAGGAGCCGGAGGTGGCGGGTAGTCCCGAGCCAGAATCTGAGCCAGAGCCTGCAGCTGAGCCTGAACCAGAACCATCAGCTGAACCAGAACCATCAGCTGAACCAGAACCATCACCTGAACTGGAACCCACCACGGTCACCGCCGCCACCATGGAGTCCCCTCCGGCGCCCTCGCCAAAGGAGAAGAAGAAGAAGTCGGCCAAGGTGGTGGAAACCGGTGCTAAGGAAGTTGTGGTCACGGCCTCGGCGGTGGACGTTCTCCTGGTGAACGCCATCATCGAAGTCACCAAAGAACCTTCTGCTGCTAAAACTGAAGAACCCAAAGAGACGGCGAGCAAGAAGAAGTCCAAGAACAAACCTGAGCCAGGTGAGTAAACTTGAGATATGGATTTCAGGTAAATTATGAGATATTTAAACAGAACACTGAGGGTTTTTTTGTCCTGTTTTTTTTCTGTAAGTGACCGACTCCTCCATGATGCTGCCGTATGGCGAGCTCCTGGCTGCTGTGTCCAACGCGACGCTCAGCGACGACCAGACGCACAAACTCACGGAGGTCCTGAACCAGAAGGCCGGCGTTCGTCACGACTCCTGGCAGCTGGTAGGTAAACACAACTGAGACAGAACATTGGAACATTCACCTCCTGACGTCACAAAACTAACAAACAAAAACTAGTTTATCAGCTTGGATCAATACAGTCAAACAGAAACCATTCAAGAGATAACGATCAACAAAACTCTTTAGTTATACCTCATCCAGCAGTGACCTTGAGTCTGTGTTTGACCTTCAGGCCAATCAGAGAGGAGACCCGTCCAGTCTGAAGAAACAGCTGGAGGAGAAGGACGGCGCCACCAACGCCAAGAACCGCCTCCGAGAGCTCGGCAAGGTAAAGGAAAGCGTTCGGATCAGCTAACTGCAGCAAAACACCTTGGAATATTGTGGTGGAAAAAATATTTAATAGTACAGAGTGAGTCCTATGATACTGAAATTAAGAAACATTGAGAAAAGAAGTTTGTCATTAAAGTCTTTATTCTCTGTGCAGAAAAGGTTCAATCATCATACAGACCGCAATGCGGTCTGAAGGAGAAAGGCACCCAGAGTGTTGGTTGTGTACGACTTATAAAGGCCTTGAGCACATCGTGGGGTAGGAGGAGTTCATCACTAGGACATCTGGACAACAGTGACCATTCACTGATTAACCATTGAATGGTTAATCACTCAAAGGTCCACTGATTGCATCCCCATTCAGCCCCTCATCTAACCTGACAATATCATGCCCCTGATTAAGACACACACACAATACTACTCAACCTGAGAGGACCCTCACTGACCATGCCTGACATTCATTAACCTCACTAAAACAAAAAGGGCCAAAACACTGAGTGGTCAGACAATAAAAAACAGATAGATAAGTCATAGTGGAAATTTGCTATCACAATATCACACACAACGACACAGACGTAATTATTAACAGTAAATATAAGTATTTGAAACAATGCAACTGACTCCATTTTATAGGATTTCACAGGATTCTAGATGAAGAACTGTGAATCAGCGTTTTATGGTAGCAAAAATATATTTGGTCAGTTAATTAAGAGTGTTAGATTAGAGTATTAACCAGGAGACAACCTCCGGTTCTGCATTCTCTCTAGTGTCCATCATGGGGCGACTACTCTGGTTGTATAGAAGTCTATGAGAAAATGACTCTACTTCTCTCTTGATTTGTTACCTCGGTAAACATTGTAAACATGAGTTTATGGTCTCAATCTCTAGTTTCAAGTCTTCTTCAATACAGCATGATGTTCATTTAGTAAATTATGGTCCATTTAGAGTCAAATAGACCATAAAGCAGGGTATGCTTTAGGGGCGGGGCTACACAGTGATTGACAGGTCTCTACCAGAGACTTATACGGCGTCTCTACGTCACTCCTCCTCAGTCCTAATATGGTCACTTCCTGTTCACTGGTTGCTAAAAAAACAAGATGGCGACAGTCAAAACGCCGAACTTGAGGCTTCAAAACGTCCACAAACCACTGAGAGACGTCACGACGTCATACGACTTGCCATGTTTCCATCTTTAGGAACTCGGTGCAGAGAAATCCAAGATGGCGTCTTTGGATGCCCGTCTGAAGGCGGAGCTTGGCGCTCAGGTTCAGAAGGTCGACGCCATGCGGGCCACAATGGAGACGGCCAACCAGGAACACCTGAGACAAACCCAGCAGCTCAACCAGAAGGTATGGTTTAGTTTGGATTCTTCAGTGGAAGATCAGAGGAAGCTTCATGTCAAGACTGAATTTAAAGTCTCACATCTTGAGTTGTGGTGAACTGGTTGTTAGCTGGCACAGACAAGTTGTCTTCGTAGCATGTTTAGCTAACTGTCCGTTGATCTGCGACAGATCGGGAGTCTACAGGAGCAGCTGGAGAACGGTTCCAACGCTCAGCTGGCCCGACTGCAGCAGGAGAACTCCATCCTCCGGGACGCCCTGAACCAGGCCACCAGCCAGGCCGAGAGCAGGTAGGTCGAGGCCCGGTTAGCGGTTCGGTTCAGGTCCAGTTAGCGGTCCGGTTCGCAGTCCGGTTAGCGGTCCGGTTCAGGTCCAACGAGCCGCAGCTATAAAACCTAGCAAGTTCTCCAAAAACGTCCAAGTCGTTGTTATGAGGTCAATGTAATCAAACTCATATTTAACAGAGTTCTATCATCACAAGACCAACCCTGTAATAAGTCTTCAGTAGTAGAATCTCTCTCATCGGTCCAATACGACATGAAGGCATCGTGTCGAGTATGAAGCTCTCTGATTGGACTGTTTCTAACTAGCTTTCAGTCACATGACTCTGGTCCTGTTGGACCCAGTGATCCATTTATGTTCTACCCCCCCCACCCTACAGACAGAATGCAGAGCTGGCCCGTCTCAGGCAGGACTGTGTCCGTCTGGGTCGGGAGTTGACCGAGCGTACCGACGCTCTCCAGGCCGACGAGGAGCGCAGGAAGAACCTGGAGGCCAAGGTGGCCACCGCCGAGCAAGAGGTGTCCCGATCCCAGGTCAGAAAGTGTCAATTCTACCAGGATATACGTCGAGTGGAGCTGCTGTCGGACAGGAAGTGACCCGTGTTGTTGTTGTTGACAGCTGGTCCGTGACGACACTGAGCGCGCTCTGAAGCAGCGACTGGAGGACGTGCGGTCGGAGCTGAAAATGTCGCAGCGGGAAGCTGCTGCCGTTAGCGGTGAGTGTTTCTGTTAGCATGTAGCTAACTAATGTAGTCTCCATCACGTCCACATGTCTCAGAACCACTGTGGTAAATAACAGGACTTTCCTGCTGTCCTTACGTCAGACCTGAAGGGGGCCCTGGAGTCCAGAGACTCTGAACTACAGGAGCTCAAGAACCAGCTGGAGAACCAGACTGCTGTCCAGGTAACAACTGTTAAAAACTATTGCTTTTAAACCGATATAATAATATTTGAATATATACATCGCTCTGTCTGTCTCTGTCTGTCTGTCTCTGTGTCTGTCTCTCTGTTTTTATGTCTTTCTCTATGTCTATCACATAATTTTGACCATGGGGATATTTTTATTATCAAGTCTAACTTTTTTTTTTTTGCTGGCGGATTCGCGGGCTGCATTAAATGACGTGGCGGGCCGGATTCGGCCACGGGCCTTGAGTTTGACATGTCTGCTTTAAACTAAGGCTAGCCTAAACTAATGTGTGCCCTAAACTAACCTTAGTCTAAACTAACCTTTGTCTAAACTAATGTGAGTCTAAACTAACATTCTAAACTAACGTTAGTTTAGGGTAACAATAGTTTAGGGCACACGTTAGTTTAGGGTAATATTAGTTTAAAGTAACGTTAGCTTACGGCAGTGGTGGGCCGTCAGGGCCTGCAATGCCTTCTCTGCTGGCCTAAACAGAATCACAAAGCTATATCTATTTTATAATTTAATATGTTTTCTTAAATACACTACATGTATTATAATTTTAGTGCTGGGCAATGATTAAAATATTTAATCGCGATTAATCGCATGGATTTTTTGTGATTAATCGCGATTAATCGGATTGTTATGGCAAAGTTCAATAATGAATTCAAAAGTAGTGTATTGCTCACTTTTATTTTAAAAGTACTGCTATATGAACAAAAGGGCAATAACATTTGGTTCACGAGATGCAGGTAGCATGTTTTATACTTAATATGAATATAATTCATACTTTGTTGGCATCTTATTCTGAAAACCGGATGTTCGTCTGAAGAAACCGGATGTTGTCTCACGTTAATCTTTCCGCTAACTTTCAAAGTCCTTCGCTCGCTCCCGATCTGTGCCGTTTAAATGCGTTTACCGTGAATTTCAGCATATAGGCGCACTAACATGTAAGTGTCTGCTGAGTTGACCACGGAGATCTGAGTGTCTGCTGACTTTACTGCAGCGATGTCCAGTAGTCTCCAGGGAGAGCAACAGCTGGTGCAGCTTCTCTCTTTATTTCTGCCCCCCCCCCCCCCTCGACCAGAAGCGGAAGTCGCCTTTTCTCTACGGCAACCCTGAAGGGACATCATATCTCCAATACAAAACGATAAATATGAGACAGTCTGTTACAATAATAATAAATTAAAAATACTTACCTGTTTTTTGTTGCTGTTGTTTTTTAATTATTATTATTATTATTTTTTTTTTTTCCCCATCTCAAAAGGATCAAGGACATACACACACACGTTCACAAATACACACACACACACACACACACACATACATACAACTGACTATAGGATGTTTGCTGGCTTTTATCCCACTGTTCTTGTCATCCTCTTGTTATGTAAATGTATTGTCTCTTGTCTTTCAAAAAAAAAAAAAAAAAATTATAATAAATAAAAAAAATGCGTTAACGCGCGATAAAATAATTGTCGGGGTTAATTAATGAATGCGTTAACGCGAAATTAACGCGTTAACTTGCCCAGCACTATATAATTTATAATAATATTTTTCCCATTATCTTATTTTCTCATTGCACAGCTCCTGTCTTCCTCAGTTGCTCTGCTTCCAGTGCAGCTTGTTTTAAGTAGAGCTTTTATCCAATCAGATTTCACCTCTGTGTCTCTAGGTAAGAACAGAGGCCCGAGGCCTGCAGACTCACAGGTGAATCCATGTGCAGTTTAAGTGAATGGGGACGATATTGTTGATTGTCATATTCTTCAACCAATCAGATCTTTAGTTTGACATGTTGGGCGTATTCTTTGACGTGTCAGCACCTGCTAGCCGGCCTATAATGACGTCAGCATTACGTGCAGCTCAGTGTTCATGTGTAGCTCTGCCGCGAGGTGCAGAGTGTGCTGTGATTGGTCAGTGGGCGAGCACGTGACTATCGTGAAACGAAACTTAACAGCAGAGGCTTAGTCGGGTAGTGAATCACATCACGTGATGCAGCTCAGCCAATCAAATATGGACATTCTGACTGAGTGAGATGTACCACACACCATGACACAGGGGGCTGAGACGAGGAAAGACGTTGCAGAGCAGTACGTACAATGTTCAAGTTGTGAAAGTAAAATCATAAGGCGATCTCTTTGGGCCGCGACTTGTCATTAAGGAATGATGGTGGGTCCCACAGCCAGACCAGCTGAGAACCACTGTCCTACATGAGCGCAGAAAATATTATGTTTTCCTGAATTTAAGCTTCTGCATTTTCCAGAGGCTCTAGTACTATTCAAACGTATTGTAAGTCTCGTACCGAACGGTACGTACATAGGTACGTACATTTAATATGTACATAGTTACAGCCTTTGAAACTAATAATAACTGTGGTGCCATCATGTGGTTATAAGGTGGTATTTCAGCTGCAGGACAACAGTGAAGGCCTAGGTATAAAATGCACGGCCCGCCACTGGCTTACGGTAACGTTAGCGATTAAAGTTGAACCTTCAGAAACTCCAGCCAACGTCACCAGATAGACTCCTCGTTTAGTCTGAATCCTAAAAGTTAAAACAGACTTTGTAAATATTTATAGCAAATATAAACAGCTTTATGTCTGATTTTACATTTTTATATATTGTTTTATCAGTCTGCAAATATCTTTTTCATCACAAAACTAGCTCATCAACCTGCAGACAGTCAATCCATCACAGATTATTTTAGTTAAAGTTTCCTTTTGTTTCATATGTAAAGAATGGTGCGTTCAAAGACATCCACGATTTGAGATTCAACTGCTGAAAAGATGATTTTCATTAATTTCTTGTGTTAATATATTTAATAATAATGTAACGGACTGAGTGACATGTAATGTTATGTAACCTGTTATGTTATCAGTTATTGTGTTTACAGGAAGAAGTTCTACATAAGATTAGTTATCGCAATTACTGAGGTCAGTGAAGGTCTCATGCCCTGTGAAGCCTGTCAATCATCCTAGCTACCAATGGGGGGTGGGTGGCACACACGAGCGTACCTGGATTGGCAGAGAGAGTGAGGTGGGATGTTGTGTTTGTGCTGCTAGCCTGTGGAGAGTTGGTCTATGACCGGGAGGAGATTGTTAAGAATGTTAACTGTTGTTTTGGCGTAGGCTACGACCCACAGTAGCCTGTGTACTGTCCGCTAATAAAGGACCACAAGTAAGATAACGTCTCGTAGCTTTCCTGACCAAGGGTCGCTACAATAATAACATCGGACAACATTTTTAACCATATCGGACACAAAATCAGAAGGTGGTGTGTGAAGGCCTTCAGTCTGACATCAAAACTAAACTATAAGATAAACTAAACACAGTCTAAGGTTTAGTTTAAGTAAACCTGAGACTTTGTGACGTTTCTTCATCTCTTCTTCAGGAATCAGGAAGTGAGACGGAGTCTGATCAACCGTTTGAAAGGTAAGAAACTCACTTGTTCCTTTATTATTATTATTATTATTATTAGAGCTCGTTGTGACTGATTCAGAGTCAGTAACTCTAAATAGTTTATAGTTTATAAAACTAAACGTTTAGTTAAAATTCAATAATTCAGCTGTTTCACAGATCATCTCTGTTGACTTTGTGTTTGTTGTTTATTATTGATGTTGTGTTCTTATGTTTGTTGTTGGCATTGTGTTTGATGTTGACTTTGTGTTTGTTGTTGTTGACATTGTGTTTAATGTTTGTTGTTGACGTTGTGTTTGTTGTTTGTTGTTGACGTTGTTATTGTTTGTTGTTGGCAGTCTGGAGGAAGACTCTCAGCTGCTCCGTCTGGAGGAAGAACTTCAGCAGCTCAAAGATGAACTTCATCAAACTCACATCGTAAGTCCAAATATAAAAACTGAAGATTAGTTGTAAATTATAATTATTAATATGAATTAATTCATTAATTATTATAAAGTTACAGATGAAAGATTTACAGACTTTTCTTCGTCTCATCGTCTTCTTCAGGAGCTGAAGGACAAAACCACTTCAGAGCGTCAGAGCGAGCAGCGAGAGGCGGAGCTTAAAGCGGCACTGGTCAGTTCATTAAAAATCAATCAGAGTGATCTTTGTCTGAACTTTGTTTTTAATGACAGTAAACTTTAAAAAAATATTTTATTTAAAAACGTGTCCAGACTGAAGTGGAGACCAGGTTTGATGCCCTGCATTTGAACTTCCAGGCGTCTCCACGTTAAAAACACGAAACCAACAAACTCAGAATATTCTTCATAAAAATATTTTCCATAACTTTTCTTTAAAATTTTATAGAAACTCAGGACTTTCTTTGATTAACTTGGAAACATTTTCCTGAATGATTTCTCACATGAGGAATGATTAAGTCTAACTTTGTTTCGCTACAATTCAGATTCATTGTTTATAAACTCCGTTTCTTCTTCTTCTATAAACTCATTTAAGAGTTTAAGAAGTTTTTCAGAACACAGAAACTTAAAAAAAAAAAAATTCACAATATTTTTAGGAACTTTTACTGAAGTTTTTGTTGTAAAACTCAGAAAAATGTCAGGATATTGGGAACGTTTTCACAGAAATAAGGAACAAAACTTAAAAACGCTGACATGAACTATTAGAAATGTTCTCGGATGTTTTTTATCTTTGATTTTTAATAACCTCGATGATGTCGATGAGTTTCTTAAATTATTTTGTTGTTCAGTTTCAGTCGAAGTTTGATCAGAACACGAAGCTGCTGCAGGAACAACAACAACAACAACTTAATGTCAATAAACGTGTAAATAAAAACGTTGTTCTCTGACAGGAGACGGAGCTTCAGGCTTTACAGCGACGCTCCGAAGAAGAAGAAAACGTCTGGAAGACAAAACTGTCTGAAGCCGAGCGGCAAAAACAAACGGTACACAATGAAGACGAGGACGCTCTTCATCATCACACGATGAAGACAAGGATGCTCTTCATCTTCATCACACGATGAAGAGAGTTTAGATCGTCTTCATCAAGTTTCAAAACAACTGATGAATGAAATATTAAAACGCACTTTCATTCGTTTTGTTTAGTTTTATTATTTTTTTTTCACCGGCGATCAAACAAACACAATAATGTTTCTTTATGTTCTGATGACAACATATTATCTATTATATATATAATATCTAATATTGTATAATAATATATAACATATTCTCTTATTAAAGTCTCTCTGTTGATGTGAATCAGATGATTATTTAAATCTGCACTCTTATTAAATTTATTTATTATACTATATTGATCCCTTTAAGGGGGAAATTTGTCTCTGCATTTGACCCATCCCTGTATATAGGGAGAAGTGGGCTGCCAATGACAGGCGCCCGGGGAGCCTGGGGTTCAGTGTATTGCTCAGGTACACTACGACACGTGACACGTCCCAGTCGAGGATCGAACCGTTGACCTTCCGGTTCCCAGACAACCCTCTTCACTAAATATCATAGTTGTAACATATTTGTACCTTTATGAGCTCTCTGTCGTGTCTACAGGTCCTGGATCAACTGAATCTGCTGGAGGACGAAGTTCAGTCGAAGAGGACGGAGACAGAAGACACTCAGCAGGTCCGTCCTCTTGAGACTAAAGACGTCGAGTCTGTTGTGTCTCAGCTGAAGGAGCAGATGATGCTGCTGGAAGCTCAGCTGGAGAAACAGCTGGAGGAGGCGAGCGCCACCCAGAGCTGCAGTGAGGAGCTCGCTCAGGTCTGAACCGTCACACAGGTCACACGACTCTAGACGCAGGACTCGTGACGAAGGACTCGTGACGCAGGACTAGGGACGCAGGACACGTGACGAAGGACTAAGGACGCAGGACACGTGACGAAGGACTCTGGATGCAGGACTCGTGACGAAGGACTCGTGACGCAGGACTCGTGACGCACGACTTGGGACACACAACTCGGGATGCACGACTCGGGACTTGGTCTTTCCTTCAACAATTGTCTTCTACATAGAAAGAAACCCACATTTTAATCATAATAATACGGAGCGAAATACATATTAAATGTCACCAAACTATCAAGAATAACAACAGTTTCGTACACAATTACATCAAAATAAAGATAAAATGAATAAAAAGCTAATATGCTAATGCTAATATTTGAATAACTCAGGTGCGGTCTCAGATGCAGCAGATGTGCGTCCGGCTGCAGGCGGAACAGGAGCAGCGGCAGCAGCTGGACAGACAGCTGCAGCAGGTCCGTCACATCTGGAACGTCTGTCACACGATTTGCTGGCCGACGGCAGGAAGTGACCTCAAACTGTTTCTTGTGTTTTTTTCAGGCACAACAGGAAGTGATGGAGATGCAACAACAGGTGGAGGCTGATCACAAATCTGCTCCGCTCCAGGTTTCTGAACTTTTACATTGATGATCAAACCAAAGAGACAGGAAGTACTCACAGCCTGACCCCGCCAAAGTAAAAGTCATGAGAGTCATTGCTCCTTTAAGACCTTTAATAATAATGTTAATTTATGCTGCACATATTTAAATCAAGTGTTTATCAATCATAAAACAATAAAAAAACTAGAACAGTTATGTATGTGTGTGTGTATATATATACATATATAAATATATGTATACATATTCAATCATACATGAAAACATGCAGCAGGTTATTTATGTTAAAATAATTTATTATGCCAAACCTATAAAATATATATATTTCTTTTTTTGATAATTCTTCTTCTGTTATTTTCAGGAGGAGGTGGAGGAGACGGTGGAGGAGAAGGTCGAGGTGGAGGAGAAGATCCAGGTGGAGGAGAAGGTCGAGGTGGAGGAGAAGGTCGAGGTGGAGGAGACGGTCCTGGTGGAGGAGAAGGTCCAGGTGGAGGAGACGGTCCTGGAGGAGACGGTCCTGGAGGAGAAGGTTGAGGTGGAGGAGAAGGTCCAGGTGGAGGAGTGAAACTTAGTGTGTCCTTGGTGTCTCGTTTTCATGGTTATATGAAGTGGACTGATTCTCTCTAATAAAGTGAAACGTGTGACTCAAAGTTGGTTTTATTCTTCACCGTTTGTCATTTTCATACGACGTTGGTGTTTGGATGCTAACGTGCTAACATGCTAACGGGGCTACACACACAAACAACAGAACAACTTGACAGATGAAAGCCAATTTTATTGATCAAGTAACATAAATAGAACATAAATGCTTCACTGTACACACGTCCTGGAACCCAAAGTAGAAATAAATATCGTCACAATAAATTAAAAGCATGAAATGGACCAATAGCTGATCAGATTGGAGTCGGAGAGACGCTGCAGTTCGACGGCTATTTACACATTTTATTTTACAGTTTTTCACATTCGTCTTTTTCACGACTTCAGCAACAATTTAAAAAAAACTAAGAAAAGCAAAAAGCAGCGTCTTATTAAAAACCTTTAGTCACATGTTACAACAGCTATCGACGTTTCTTCAGCGCGATCAGTATCAAATACTTCAGTCGGCAGGTTACAAAAATGTCACACACTTCTGTTTTTATGGGTTTCCACGACAACGAGGCGTCAGTGAAGCAGCTCTCAACCTTCAGTTCAACGAAGCTGCAGCACTCTAAATGGTATTTTAAAGAGTTTCATCACATCAGAGTGAACATTGTTTCTGCTTCAGTTTTTAGTGCCTGACTCCATCGATCAAGTTCTCTGAGATCAAAGCATCTGAAGACGAGGACTTAAAAAGCAGATTACAACCAAGTGAAAACATGAACTCTCGAGAGTCAGTGTCCTGTTTGTCCTCTCTGGGCTCCTGTAGAAACATATTGATACAAACATAGTTATTAATATTATATTCTGTTAGCATCACTTCTGGTTGAGAGCTGCTGAGCTGAACCTCTCGGATCCAGAACTCAGATCTTTGGGCTCTCTGTCACTTTCAGTCTCGTGTGCAAACAATCAGAGCCGGAGCGCCCGGAGAGCCGGAGCGCCCGGAGAGGAAGAAGAGGAAACGAAAAAAAAAAACATCACCTGGACACAAAACAGCTGCAGGTTCTCCGGCGTGGAGCCAACGGACAACGAGGTCCTGGTGGCTCCAGCTTTCATAGTCCAGCTGTGTCCACACTCACACAGAAAACAAGCAACATAAACTGATGTAAACATTACTTCAGGGAGACAAACAGCTGAGACTATTTCTTCCTGATGACGTTGCTGCCAGCCATGGTCGGCTTCCCGTTCCTGTCGCCATGGTAACCAATAACGGCTGCTGTTCTCGTTGGTGTGACTCATGCTCGCTTGGTTTGACCACAAGGGGGCGGAGCCGAGTCATCGAACATCTTAAAGTAACACGTGAACTTTGTAGTAGTAACTTACTTAAAGTTCTTACAGGGTCTTAAAGGGACCCTCATTTCAGAAAATACCAGATTGTGATTGGACGTTACAAATTGCATACGGGGGAATTTAACCTTTGATCTCTGAAGCCAGAGATCAACGTGACGGGGAGCGCCGGGTCGTTTAAGGTCCCTCCAAAACCGTCCAATCAGAAGAAACCGGCCCCGGCTGGCACACATCAGACACCCCGAGGATTATGGGAAACAGACGACTGAACTTCACTCCGTCCTGAAGCTGAAGTTTGAGGAAATTTTCAAATAGATGAAAAGATACCGGATTGAATTTTCGTAAAACCTTTTAAGGTGAAACCATATTTGGATCTGTATAGCAGAGGCAGGTGCAGGGCAGGATTAGCCTATTTTACCACAAAGACAAGAAGCGGGGGGGGGGGGGGGGGGG